CACTGACAATGTGTCATAATCATAGGACATGTGTTGGTACAGTGAGTCTTAATCATGGGACCATGTGGTCACTGACAATGTGTCATAATCATAGGACATGTGTTGGTACAGTGAGTCTTAATCATGGGACCATGTGGTCACTGACAATGTGTCATAATCATAGGACATGTGTTGGTACAGTGAGTCTTAATCATGGGACCATGTGGTCACTGACAATGTGTCATAATCATAGGACATGTGTTGGTACAGTGAGTCTTAATCATGGGACCATGTGGTCACTGACAATGTGTCATAATCATAGGACATGTGTTGGTACAGTGAGTCTTAATCATGGGACCATGTGGTCACTGACAATGTGTCATAATCATAGGACATGTGTTGGTACATGGGACCATGTGGTCACTGACAATGTGTCATAATCATAGGACATGTGTTGGTACAGTGAGTCTTAATCATGGGACCATGTGGTCACTGACAATGTGTCATAATCATAGGACATGTGTTGGTACAATGGGTTGTAATTCTTGATCATAGGATAGTACAATGAGTCCTAGTCATTTAGCTTATTTTACAATATGCCATAGTCCTCGGGCATGGCTTGGTACCAAAGGCCATTTTCCTGGGACAAAGGCTGGCGCTTTGGGCCATAATCCTTGGATATAGGTTGGTACAATGGACTATAGTTGTGGGACATGGGTTGGTAATATGAGTCATAGTCTAGGGACATAGAGTTGTACAATGATCCATAATCCTGGGATTCGGTTTGGTACAATGGACCATATGCCTGGTACATAGGGTTGTACAATGAGCCATAATCCTGGGATTCGGTTTCGTACAATGGGCTATAGTCCAGGGCATAGAGTTTTACAATGAGCCATGATCTTGGAACTTGTCTTGGTACAATGGATCTGTGACACGGGTTGGTACAACTAATTAGTCCTGGACAATAGGCCATAGTATGGGGGTATATGGTTTAATGACATCTGTCCTTCAAATTGGAATGGATCATAGACCTGATGCATTAGAATGACTTTAGTGTAACCTTACAGCTGTATGACTGTATGTGTAGGGTGAAGCTGGTAAAGAGGCTTGTGAGTTGGTCCCAGCCACTTGATCTGTGACCCACACAGTAATACAGTGTCAGTATTACATCCATATGGCATGTCATAGTACCACCCTACCACATTCTTATCATACACACATGTCCCCATCATACAGGTTGTGTGGCAGACAACAGTGCCATGTTGTTGTGTTAAGTAGCCCAAAGTGTATTAAAGTATTTGCCACTGATCATAGTAAGGAGCTGGTAAAATGGGCATTTAGTTGTATTTGAACACAATCTTTGTGAGTCAGTAAGCAATGCCGTTTTGGCAGGAACGCCTAAACTCAATCTGAATCATCAATTACAAGTATTTATTCTACAAAAATACCTATTGTTTTAGAAAATTTGAAAATTGCACTATCATACATTTCTTTATGAATAAGTTAAGGGCAGAGCAGCAGAGGTAATAATATCAGAAATTATAGGAGACAAAAATCCATGAAGAAAATTAATGAGTTGGTCATACATTTTAGTGATAACTGTTGAGAAGTTAAGAAGCAAAATGAACAGGCTGATTTAGGGTATCATGACAGCTCACAGCCTCACAGCTGTGTAGACTCTATCTTAACTCTGTGTAAGTAATCTGTTTATTTACTAATTAGATTCTTAATTACTGATTACTATGGTAATTAATTTTCGAACACAAGACTGATGTCTTACTGCAGATGTTGCACTGCTGTTTGTTAAAAAAAGAAAAAAAATATTCCTCTGATTCAGATGCATCAGAGTTCTTATGTAATCTTAGTGCAACTAGTTGAGATGGCTAATGGTTTCTGTCAGGTCAGTGGGTACAAAGACTGGAGTACATCTCTGTTACTCCTTGTTATGGTCTCTATCAGTGATTGTTAATATAAAGTTATCTTCTACAGTTAACTTTAATGGTCAGTCAGACTGCTTTGTTGTAGGAACAGACCTGAATATTTCTATGTAGTTTGTGGAGATTTTCTGTTGAATTTGAGAATTAGTTTACACAGTATGTATATGTACCTTTGGAAACCTCAGAGTTTTATATTTAGCTCACTTAGAAGAAATTCTTTAAAGTTTTGAAAAAAACTTGAACTTCATAGATTTGATTCTGAATATTTTATTTTGGAAGCGATTCCACCTGCTTGCCTCATCATTGGTGTTGGTTGGAAGATTCTTTCCTTTATCTTGTTTTTGTTGAAGAGATGGAATCTGTCTGATCTATCTAACAGACTCTGGTCAATGTTGCTGAACAACTCGTCTCTGCTCTTAACATCAGAAGCTGTTGTTTGCATCAATATTTAAGTAAAAACCAGATTGGTGTTGTGGCCATACTTTTGCTGTTGTTTGACGTTGTTTTGTGCAATACTTTATGAGAAGATCTTGTTTCACGGACAATCAGATAATTATCTCTAAGGTATCATTACTGACATGACATGGTGTTGAAATAAAACTGGAAATAATTCATTATCAAAAAGTTTGTTCCTCTACAAGTTTTAGCACTTTCATTTATTCAAAATGACCCTTTATGACCTTGAAAAGTGTGTGATTAAATTGATTTGACCTTGAAGGAATATAAGACAAAGTGTGGTAGTTGCAGACTCTCAAGAGAAGGTCTGTCATGAGATACCTGCAACATCTCACTGAATAGTCGGAGATCATGATTTCCTCAACGGAAGGTATTGGAAGATTAAATAGAACAGCTTAAGTAGAGATTGAAAGAGATGTCAAGTTTCATTCTGGAGGAGGAAGGAGAGAAGTTTTGCTCCAGCTGTCGGTCTTTGATGCTGTAGACATATTTACTGATGATTCAGCAACATTTGTGTAGATACTCGAGATATTTTAATCAACTGTCTGTACTTATAACCTGTCAGTCATTCCCAACCAATATAGGTTTCTACAGAATCTGCTTGATATTTCTAATTGTATCAAGTTTCAACTTGTTACTTTATGAATGAAATAAAGAAACCTTAGGTCTGTAATTGATAGGCTGACTTTTGACATCACACCTGTTATTACAATTATTTTCTCAATCACTGAATGAAGGAAAGCATGCAATGACTCGTAACTGAAGTGAATGTTTCAGTCTACACAAATGGCTGTTACTTTAAATGAAATTAAGAAAAAAAACATGTGTCAGAATTTTGCAGTGGTGTAGAACTTATCCACTTACACCTTAATTGAGTGTATAGGTGTACAGGTGGGTGCTGTTACATGTAACTTCGCCTATACTGTAATCATGATCAGTGCTCCCTCATCTGCCGGGCACATTTAGTTCTCAAAACGAAAAAAGGGAACCATATTGTGTATGAATAATGAAAATAATATAAAGGAAAATAAATTGACTGAAATTTTTATATTTATTAAAACTAATTCAATAATAAAACAAGAGCGAGCTTGACAATTATATATCAGAGTGGGTGAAAAACAGGTGTGGTCATCATGGGACAGAAATGTGGTGTTCCTAAAGTTGAGTGCAATGGATGTTGGCACCATTTCAAACATTAGTGCTTGTTGTGAAACATCTGTCCATATATGTGTCTGCACTATTTACTTGTAGTTAAATGTGATTCACCTACAGTTATTTATTTGACTTTTCAGGGCTTTGATTTTTAAAAATTGAGCTTCAGTATCGATTTTGGAGTTGAGAGTTTGAAAATTGAATAGTCTTCTGTAACATATTTAAATCTTAATATCTTGGACTAAATCGATGTCCTTTATTTATATACTGGTAGATGGTTGTCTATGATGTTAATCAACATTTAACTTCAATTGTACGATAAACCATCTATTCATCTACATTAAATGTACCATTATTTGCTCCAGAAATTTTCACTTTTCCTTTTTCTTTCCTTCAAGTGTATAGTTATACATTTAATTTTCTTTCTCAGTGGGGTTTCTTTGGATCAAACATCCATATGTCAGTGGTGTTACCATGCACTTTCTCCCATCAGTGTAAAACAAATATTTATGGAGTCCTATTTCAAACTGAATCAGTTCCTTTATGTTGCCATGGTGACTAGTACATACTATCAAACTCGAGTCATCAGCAGTTCTATAAACATTTCAGAGAATTTTCTTCCAATATCTTGGATCTTTAAGATTTCTTGCTAAAAGAAGATTTCATCCAGGAATGACCTTGACCCTATTTTGAAGGTTCTATCAACCTATCATGATTTTATCTTGTTTCCATGGAGATCATCCATATAACAAACTACTCCATACCCTTCTACCTCCCCCTTTAGATATCCAGTGCAAGTCTGTATGTGGATAGGTCACGATTTTCTAGCAATCAAACTTAATTTTAGGGTAAAATTTTGAATCACTCTGATAGCAGAAATAATATTGGCACTTACACCCTGGTAGAGATAACATGTTAGAGTGTTTTTCTAACATAAAGATATGAACACAGTATACATACTAATAAAAAACACCTAAACATATGATTTATGAGGTTTCGTTTTTAAATGGCAACAATCTGGATTGTATCCGAATCTTAACAACATGTCAAATATACAACTAGAAAAAGTTTACTTCAACAGAAAATACCACATAGTTGTTGAATTTGTGTCAGAAGTACAAACTGTCAGTGTATAGAGGAATTCATCTGTAAATTATTTAAAAGTGACATTGCTAACCTGACATTGTGTCAAGATCACCTTATTACCCTTAGTACACCAGCCACACTTCATAGTTACCTGTCTTTACTTATAAAACATGAAAACTGAAGTTAAAAATGAAAGCAAGAAAAATGATTATATACCTCACTCTTTGGATTGTTTGTATTGATACATAATCCATCATCTCCCTCATCTGTCCTCACCTCAGATTATTATTTCTGGTCGATAAATTTTGTTTTGTTGTTGTTGTTGTTGTTGTTGTTTTTCATGTTGTTGTTGCAAAAGAATTCTGAAAATCTGTTTTTGTGTTTCAGCAAAATGTAGATGAACCTCCACCCCGGGAATGTGGTTCTAACTGTAATAGCAACAATGGTTGTAAATGTATAGGCGAGAAAGGAGATCGGGTAAGTACAAATCAAATGTGACAGGTTTGTTGTTCTTTAAAAGTTGATGTTTTGTCATTTTTTTAACTGACATTTAGACTGTAGACTGTTCAAACTACCATCCATCAGCTAGTCATCACTAGTTCCATCTGTCCTTTAACATGGTATGGATATTTCTCAAATTTTGTATATGACTTCATATTGGTCTCTAGTTGTGCATGGTCAATTTTGGGATTGATTGAAATAATAAAATAGCCTAGAGGTGGCTATCTTGGCTTTTGTCAATTAAAGTTTGTAATCAAACTAACTAGAGTGGTACTAGAAGGAACTTTTTCTCATTTCAAGACTCGCTTTGATCTGATGTTGTGCATGTTAAATTTTGGGACTGGTTGAAAAACAAAAATGCTGACCAAATTTTCATGATGTAAAAACTTGCCATAACCTTACTGATTCTCTCCCTCATTTTGTTTCAAAATCCTTGCCTACTATTTCCTCTCTCACTTTTCTCTGTGGCATCAGTGATAAGTGATAAAGAAGGATGTATTTCCAGTCGTGCAGGTGGGGTGGGTTATTGGGGGCTCTTTTTTATTTAAATTATATACAAATGAATGGAAATTAGTGGAAGATATGCATACTTAAGTTATGGTAATTATTACTGAAGTGAAAAGAAGTTACACAGATAAAAGAAGTGAAAAGGCAATATGGTTGATGTGACTTCTGTTGGATCACATGTTTTATACAACTGTATAAGTTGATTAAATGATATCCGAATTTCTGTCAATTGTAATATATGAAGAACCAGCATTTGAGGTTTTAAGAAGCTTTCCTTAGACACTGATTTGTAAGGGAGATACTTAGTGATCACAATTGTCAAGCCAGACTATCATTGCATTCACTAGATATGGAAAAAATGTAAAATTTAAATCATTTGTTTTCAGATATGGAAAAAAAATCAAATTATTTGTCTTAAGATATGGAAAAAAAATCAACTTTAAGTTATTTGTCTTAAGATCATAAAATATCTTGGTTTTAAGATTAGTGCTCATAAATTTTCAGATGATGTGAAAAATAAAGAAAACAGATACCAAAAGGAAATATTGGTTCAGTGCCATTTTGTACTATTCAGACAGTGATATATCACCTGAATTGTCAGGATAAGGGAAATACAGGTTGTTTCTGTGGCTAAAAGGATTAGTGATGTGGAGGGGGAGGGTTGTTTGGGACTAAAGTACAGGAAGACACTGCAGGAGTGAGACATTAAATAAGGGATTATGGATACAGGAGGTTAAGTCAAGCTTGTCCTCTACATAAATATTCGGCCACCTGGTTTATAGATTTGGCAGAGGAGGTTAGTCACCTTACTGTACTGCCTGTACTGCCTACTACTTAAACATTAATAATTATTATGTAGCTTATCTGATAAGGTAGAGGGGGAGATTATGATGAGAGGGTGTGAACATAAGAGATTGATCTTCAGATGTTTGTATTTTTTTTCTTTTTTTATTATTTAAACGTTTTTATGCTCCTCAACAAGTTTTGGTTGAGCATACAGCTGCTTTGTCCATCCTGCTGCCCATCCATCCATCATTTTCATTTTCATACCTGGAGCATAACATTGCCCTAAATGAAGCAAGGACCATGAAACTTTGTGTGTTCATCAGTTACACTAAGAACTAGGTCCAAGCCCTTACCCCATTCTTTACAGAGTTATTGCCCTTTTTAAAAATCTTGTATCTGGAGCAAAAATTTGCTTGCTTTTTAGCAAGGATTACGATATTTGTGAAAAATGGTCATACTGAGACGATGTGCATTGTACCAAAACCTGCAATCCCTTAATTACAGATTTATTGGTCTTTGTTAAAATTTTGTGACTGGAAATCAAGCAAAAAATAAATCTGTTGCGAATATTACCAACAATTCATTGTTTATGCCTAAATATATACGTTATTTTCCATTATAGGGTATCCATGGTGATATTGGTCCCCGTGGTCCCCAAGGTAACCAAGGTTACGCTGGTGTTGAAGGTTTACCTGGCCCTAAGGGAGATAAAGGTGATACCGGTAGACCTGGACCAGCTGGTTTAAAAGGAAACAGAGTGAGTTACCTCCCTTCATTTTGATAAGAATATACTGGACACAGGCTTATTAAGCCTATATATCCAGATCAGAATTTAAAAATTGCTCTTTTAAAGCAGAATTTAATATAAAACAGATGTGAACTCTTAATATTTCTTTTTTATTTGTTCAACGATACAAAGCAACACCAAAATTGAAATATAAAATTCATACATTTGTTTCAGCAGCAGTAATAAACATAAATTTAAACTTACAAAGAGAATATTGACAACCTGATAATGGTTTCCATTATAAAACCTGTTTGATGAATTCTGTTATACTTGCATCTCATTATCTTCTTGACCTCTTCCACAGGGAAAAATGGGAATGCCTGGCTTCCCTGGTATCAATGGAATTCCGGTAAGTTTCTTCATATATTTTCTGTTACTATTAAATTTTGTAGGTTTATTTAAAAACTTTCCATGTTTATAAATATCTAGCAGTATAAAGTGTGAGGGCCAATGTATAAATTTGTATTCAAAGTATACACTTAGCATACTACTAAATAGATGCAGAATGTTGGAATCCTTTTATGTCTCATCAGATTTAATATGGAAGTTATACTCTTGGAACATGACAAATTATCTTTATCTACAACGAACACATACTACAATGAATCATGTTGAAAACAGTCAGGTTGTTTAAATTGCAGGTATTCTGTTGTTGTCCTGGTTGACACTGATTGACACTGAACTAATTGCCTTATGTTTCTAGAAATACTTAATGACATAATATGACAAAATTTCACACACATTCATCTCCCAAATGCTGTATAGTATCACACAGTATCCATAAAAGATTAAGTCAGATAAATGGTGTTCTGTTGTGATACAGCTGAATGTTCTTATTATAGATGTGCTAGGTCTTATAGCACCTTTTTTGTTGTTAAGGGTATCCCTGGACCTATTGGACCACGAGGAGCCCCCGGTATGGATGGATGTAATGGTACACAGGTAAGATATACATACTCTGAAATAGAAATCTACACATATCAGTTTCTGGATGATGAGATCTTCAAATTTCTGTTCTTCACTGCTTTTCCTACTCACAAAATCGTTGTTTTAGGAGGCTGGCATTTTTTTTTGTAGCGGTATTTAGATTTACCAGACAGAGTATACTGTCTAGATTTATATCGGGATTTCCGGTCCATTACCATAAACATCTATCATAGTAATCATAGTAATTTTTTCAAAATTTGAAATATTGAATATTAACCACCGCAAAAGTGGCAAATGATTCTTTATTGATAAACAAGGAAATGTTTGAATTTCATTCAGATAACTTTTTGAATAAATGATGTTCTAAATCCATGCATGTTGTACGGTACAAGTAGGCCATCTTGAAATATCCAGTAGTTTCTGGTTAAAGCCCATCTTGACCTTCAGGTAAAAGCTGTTAAAGAGTTTCCTCCAATCATTTAAATCTGCAGGCTGCCCTGACTGTAGGAATGTTGACATAGGAGGCAGATGGCACCATCTATAGAGAATGCTTGTTTAAACTAGTGTGAAGGTTTATATACAGACCTCTGTAAACTACCTACAAAGTGCTGATTCAGCACAATATTCACCGACTCAGGAAGAATGAGTTAGGATTGGATTCTGACTAAGAACAATTTATAGTAGGAGCATTTCATGTACGACCATATTCTTGTGGAAAATATCGGATTTTGTTTTCTGAAAACTGTACAATTAAAATATAAAAAGGACATCTCAAAATACATTTCATTTCAGTTTTATAATTTGATTCTGTTATATTTTTATTAAAAACATCTTTTAAGTAATTTTGTAAATACATTACAATTTCTGTTGTTAATTAAGGCAGTGTATATGAAACACTTGATACTCAGTTGGTAGCTATCATTCTGGTAGGTCAGAAAGCTGTTCATTACTTTGACATGGCTGATCTGATCAGCTGATCACTAAGTAAATATCCCTGCCCCTATGGGTGGATTTGGGAGGAAGATAAGTAAGTACTAGCATGTGCAGTGATGGGTCTTCACTAGATAAAACTGTAACTACGCACCCTAGGGGCTCTTACGACACCCAGATTACTCAACATGGCTTCTTAGGGGGCTGGCAAAGGGAAAATAATTCCAAAATGGGCACATTAAGGGATTTTATCAATAAAAGATAAATCTGAAAATAAGCTTGGTAAGCAAGTTTGGATTTATTTATTTCATTTGTTCATTTTTCATTTATTTTTTCGTTTTTTTTTGTTGTTTTTTTTTTTTTTAATTTTTGTTTTGTTGTATTTTTTTTTATTATTTATTCATGCAGTATACCAGAGTAGCTCAGGAAACTGATAGAGTTCAGGAAAAAACTATTCTTATTGAAACAGTTATTTTGGTAACACTGGACCATTTGATTTTATCATAAATGTTTGACAGTAAAATAATTGGCAATAATTATTCTGTGCCATTAACTCTGATGTTCCCATTGACCAGTGCTTCTTGTTGGTTTTGGTCATTCTATTCAGTGTTTTCGAGAAGCTTTAAAATGCTATATTCAACCCTGGATAAAGCTTTGATTAATTGCTCATATGATAGGATTTCACCATCAATTTTTTCTGGGTTTTAGTAGAGTTCACAAAAAAACAAAAACAAAACAAAAAAGTGATGGTAAAAAGCAACTGAAATGGCATTTAGATAGTAATTTATTTGGTAGCTGTAAGAAAGAAATAACTTGTTTTGTCTCAGTTTATGTTTCTGTGACCTTGGTCTTCATTCTGTAATCTCTCATACTTCTTTGACCTTCACCTTTGTTATGTTAACTTTAATGTTTGTTTGATTTTCAGTCTGTAATCTTCAATGTTGCTGTGACCTTTAGTCTCTAATCTTCAATGTTACTATGACCTTTAGTCTGTAATCTTCAATGTTACTGTGACCTTTAGTCAGTAATCTTCAATGTTACCATGACCTTTAGTCTGTAATCTTCAATGTTACTGTGACCTTTAGTCTCTAATCTTCAATGTTACTTTGACCTTTAGTCTCTAATCTTCAGTGTTTTTTTTAATGTTTCTGTTACCTTGACCTTTATTCTATGACATACTTTCTGTAATCTTCAGTGTTACTGTGACCTTTAGTCTGTAATCTTCAATGTTACTATGACCTTTAGTCTGTAATCTTCAATGTTACTATGACCTTTAGTCTCTAATCGTCAATGGTTTTTTTTTTAATGTTTCTGTTACCTTGACCTTATTCAATGATAACCTTTCTGTAATCTTCAGTGTTTCAGTGATCCATTTCACTCACTAAATTTTGGTTTTGTAATCGTGAATTCTAAAACTTTCAATGTTAAAGAGAACTGATCTTTCATGTTTTTGTTCTACAGGGAGAGGCTGGACTGCCTGGTCTGCCAGGTAGTTCAGGTCCTGATGGACCCCCAGGATTTCCTGGATCAAAGGGACAGAAGGGAGAAGCATCAGTCGATGGATTTGGACAGAAAGGATCAAAGGTATATAATGAATAACTAATTAGATTACCTGTGTAATCAACCTTTCAAGGACATTGGGTCATTTATATCTCATTACCTTAGGAATGAAAGTCACAGGTGATCAATTTAACCTCATCATTACTTGATCTAAAATTTGTGTGGTTTTGTAATAATGTGTAAGATATGAGATAGTATATATAGATGTATTACTTAGGATGTGTTTACCAATGTCTTTAACTATATAAGGAGTGATGTGTTGTTACTAGGCACTAATAATGGAATTATTTTCTGTAATAGGGAGAAACAGGACGAGAAGGCTTCCCAGGAAATCAGGTAAACAATATTACTTCAGTATTATAGTCATGAAGGTTAAGAATATGAAATGGTCGTCCTTCAACCAGTAAAATGAGCTGAAAGTAAGACTTTCCTCTTGTTTTCTCTTTCGAATTGTCAGTTATGTTTCCTCTCTTTTCTCACGTATATATTCCAACTGTTCACTTTACAGTAAATTGTGTACGTAAATTTTTATGACATAATGAGGAGTTCTCCAGAACTTACAAGAGAATTTGATGACACAGAGTTGCCAAACATTGAATTTCCTTCTATATTGTAAAATATTGCAAAAAACGAATTAGCAGAAAGTCATTGATTGTATTAGAAAAAATTATCTGAGAGGCAAAATCATTACAAGGTTGATATGTCAAATGTTTTCTAAATTGCATTAAATTCATCCTTGTTAGTAACTACAAAAATTCAATATATAATGTGTCTTACTTTTCATTAATATAGAGAAAACTACTTATTAACAAATCTACTGTATATTAGCTATAAAAGGAGCGGGTCGGCACGTTTTTTTTAATAGTGTTAAATATGATCTCTGTCACTCAGCTGACAGAGCATGCTTCTTTGGCTCAGTTCATAGAGCTGGTTAATTATCACACCAGGGTTCAATTTCTGGTTGGGGCACTTGACAGGAATGTGTAGTTTTCCTGTTCTCTAACATGTATGAAGACAAATTTTATCAAGTGAATACCAGTTCATAATGACCATTGTATTTTCTAGGGTAGACCCGGAGAAGATGGTTCACCTGGACCAAAGGGAATGGATGGACGTAATGGACAACCCGTTAGTATAAACAGAACAAAACTGGTTAACGGCATTATGATAGGGTTCTTTTGTAAAATGTGAAAAGATTGCATAGTCTGTGCCATCTTCTCTTTATAAGAGTTCCACTCAGACTGTTAAATACATTAATCGTATTTGAAACTAAGAGGATTATCTGTTAAAGGGAGATAATTATTGTGAGAGAATGTGTGCTTTGTTAACTTCATAAAAGACAGTTGTTTAATCTCTGTGAAGGGAAATGATATTTTATAAAAGAGATCGATTGTGTTGTGAAAACTATAAATGTATTAATGATATCCTTCACATCCAGGATTACATATTTGGACATCTCGTTTACAATATGACAACGCTTCAATAGATACATTAAGATATCAAAAAGAATTACACATTTTCCTAAAGGGAGATAGATAATCTACCTGGTTTTCAAAAATCTGTGCGTAGTCAAAACACTCAATGTGGTAATTTGTAAAAGTAGCAGTAGTGGTACAAGTTTATAGTCTTGATTAAGGTTACAACCAACTGAGGTTAGTATGTTACTAGAGATGTTGGATCATTAGAAAGTGGTAATTCTCTCCTCCTTTCTCAATGCAGACTTTAGACCACTTACGGCAGAGTTTCTTTTTTAAGGGAATGTGTACTTTGTTAAAACACGATAAAGGGAGATAATTCATACAAGAGAATGTATTCTTTGTTAAAGACTCTTTTCTTTGCTAAAAAATCCATAAAGGGAGATCACAAGAGAATGTACACTTTGTTAAAACCTGTAAAAAGGGAGATAATGCATAGAAGCGATGGGTTCATTGTTAGAGACTATATAATGGGAGATCATCCATACAAAATAATGTGTTCATTGTTAGAGACTATATAATGGGAGATCATCCATACAAAATAATGTGTTCATTGTTAGAGACTATATAATGGGAGATCATTTATACAAAATAATGTGTTCATTGTTAGAGACTATATAATGGGAGATCATTTATACAAAATAATGTGTTCATTGTTAGATCCATACAAAATAATGTGTTCATTGTTAGAGACTATATAATGGGAGATCACCCATACAAAATAATGTGTTCATTGTTAGAGACTATATAATGGGAGATCATCCATATATAATGGGAGATCAAAATAATGTGTTCATTGTTAGAGACTATATAATGGGAGATCATTTATACAAAATAATGTGTTCATTGTTAGAGACTATATAATGGGAGATCATTTATACAAAATAATGTGTTCATTGTTAGAGACTATATAATGGGAGATCATCCATACAAAATAATGTGTTCATTGTTAGAGACTATATAATGGGAGATCATCCATACAAAATAATGTGTTCATTGTTAGAGACTATATAATGGGAGATCATTTATACAAAATAATGTGTTCATTGTTAGAGACTATATAATGGGAGATCATCCATACAAAATAATGTGTTCATTGTTAGAGACTATATAATGGGAGATTCAAAATAATGTGTTCATTGTGTTCAGAGACTATATAATGGGAGATCAATACAAAAAAATGTGTTCATCGTTAGAGACTATATAATGGGAGATCATATAATGGGATACAAAATAATGTATTCATTGTTAGAGACTATATAATGGGAGATCATTTATACAAAATAATGTGTTCATTGTTAGAGACTATATAATGGGAGATCATCCATACAAAATAATGTGTTCATTGTTAGAGACTATATAATGGGAGATCATCCATACAAAATAATGTGTTCATTGTTAGAGACTATATAATGTGTTCATTGTTAGAGACTATATAATGGGAGATCATCCATACAAAATAATGTGTTCATATATAATGTTAGAGACTATATAATGGGAGATCATCCATACAAAATAATGTGTTCATTGTTAGAGACTATATAATGGGAGATGTGTTCTGTTAGAGACTATATAATGGGAGATCATCCATACAAAATAATGTATTCACATAAATAATGTAATGTGTTCATTGTTAGATAATATATAATGACTATATAATGGGAGATCATATAATGGGAGATCATTATACAAAATAATGTGTTCATTGTTAGAGACTATATAATGGGAGATCATCCATACAAAATAATGTGTTCATTGTTAGAGACTATATAATGGGAGATCATCCATACAAAATAATGTGTTCATTGTTAGAGACTATATAATGGGAGATCATATATACAAAATAATGTGTTCATTGTTAGAGACTATATAATGGGAGATCATTACAAAATAATGTGTTCATTGTTAGAGACTACAAAATAATGTGTTCATTGTTAGAGACTATATAATGGGAGATATAAAAATAATGTGTTCATTGTTAGAGACTATATAATGGGAGATCATTTATACAAAATAATGTGTTCATTGTTAGAGACTATATAATGGGAGATCATCCATACAAAATAATGTGTTCATTGTTAGAGACTATATAATGGGAGATCATTTATACAAAATAATGTGTTCATTGTGAGAGACTATATAATGGGAGATCACCCATACAAAATAATGTGTTCATTGTTAGAGACTATATAATGGGAGATCATCCATACAAAATAATGTGTTCATTGTTAGAGACTATATAATGGGAGATCATTTATACAAAATAATGTGTTCACTGTTAGAGACTATCTAATGGGAGATCATTTATACAAAATAATGTGTACTTTGTTAAAAAATACTGTAAAGGGAGATGATTCATACAAGAAAAGTGTGTGCTGTGTTAAAACCCAGAATTCCTTGCCTATGTTAGGGTATACCAGGCTTATCAGGAAGCAAAGGAGAGAAAGGAAACCCTGGAATTGTTTTCAACGGTATCAAAGGAGACAGAGGTCCAAGAGGAGTCCCCGGACCTCCAGGTCCTCCAGGAGACAGCAGGGAATCACTGGAAAGCCGTAAGGGTACCAGAATCGGACCAAAGGGTGATCAAGGAATTCCAGGGCGTGATGTTAGTAATGCATGGTTGATTTTGTAAATAATTTATCATTTCTATTTTCCAGAAGTATCAGTATGATCTTGTATAAAGAGTTTTCACAACAATTTTCTAAACAGTCTTAAACAGACTAATCTGTAAGTTTGTTTACTTTCAAAGTTAGGAATAATTTCAGAACAAGATCTAAAGGAATAGTTGTTAATCTACCTGCTACTTAATTTTATTACTGTAACATGTTTATACGTTCTTTTCTAAATTAATGGTACTTTGTGTCTTTAAGAATCATCAGAAATTTAATAGTTGTGAACAATTTGTTTAGGGAGAACCAGGACGTGAAGGGCCTAAAGGATACAAAGGAGCCCCTGGCCGTGATGTGAGTTACTTGCAAAATTTATCTATTTGAATCGAAAATTAGTTAATTTCACTTAATTGTCTTATAACTTGAAATTATAGTCTAGTAAAGATCTGTAAAAAATTGTCCATTGATTCAATCAAGTGAAAAAAATTAATATCAAACTTGTATGACTTTTCTTGAGAAAAAAATCACTGCTCAGCGATGTCAGCTCTGACCTATTGGTATCAAAAGGTGTAGGAAGGATCAGTTTTTGAAGTTGTACTGTAGTGCTATATCCAGACCCTGATGAGCGATTGTTTATACAGGACACACAAATTGACACTGTTTCTATTAACAATATCCATGCTATTCTTTTGATAGGGTATGAAGGGTATGATTGGTATGAAGGGAGAGAAAGGTATACCTGGTATTGCTGGACCAAGGGTAGGTATCTCCCAAAAAGCAGGTTCAGTTTTGTGTTAGAATTCTGGTTTATTAATATATCACCTAATTTTTTTAACATTCTATTGCTTTTCTGAAAATTCTAATTTAATATTTTTTAACTTTTATATTAGCATAATTGTTTTATGATTATACTGGGACCAGAATTGCTTTAGATTTACTATATTTTCTTTTCAACTTTGCGTTTTTATCCAGATTTTGTCTGATCTATTATAAGATGCAGAGATATTTCTATAGCTCTCATCAATTTTTCAAAAAACCTCAAAAATGCATTCCCCATATAATTGAAAAGATTGTGTATTGTATCTGTAATTTCAAATACTTTTTTACCATAAATATTCATGAAGTAAGCCTATTTAAAAAAAAAACAAAAAAAAACATGCAGGGTCTGCTTAATTTGAGAAGCCCACCACAAGTGTAACATTTATCTAAATTCAGTGATGTGTTTTATGCCGAAGATGGTAAGCTTAGTTATAGTAAGTGCATAATGTGTCTGAATTTTAAGAATAAAGTTACCAAATCCTGTCATTGTTGTCCTCAACTAAGTCAGAAATTGCAGTAAATAACACTTGAAACACATTATTTTCATGAAATTTAAAATATCTGCTTATCAAGATGTGAAAATTAATATTGACGAGTGTGTTGCTGTACAGTTTAATGTTATTTAGAGATATGTCTTTCACTTTGCCTATATTTAACATTGGTGTTGACTACTTTAGGGAAAACAAGGACTGCCGGGACTACCCGGTCTGCCTGGACTAAAGGGTGATCGTGGTATGGATGGTCTACCTGGTCTGAATGGTCTTAGTGGAGATAAGGGAGAGTCTGGTCTGGATGGTATCAAGGGTGAGAGGGGTCCAGTCGGACCGCCTGGCCCCGCTGGTGTAAGTATGAACTTTCTGACCTGTATATAAAGGTACTGATAGGTACAAGCTTATTACCTAGACAGGTATTTTTACACAGCAGTCATATCAGGAATTTTCTTGTATCAGTTATAATTTTGTCTCTGCTGACACAAGAAAGTAAAGATGTGGTCAGTGACATCCAGAGCAGAGTAGTTCGAACAGATCAAAAAGTCAGATTATATATTTAACTCACAAATGTTTCTGAATTTTGTCATTTTATTAATTTAGGTTTCTGTATATGTCTGTTGTACGTTATTATTTATTGATTCATTTATTTCAAATTAATCCTGTCACAAAATTATATACATTTACAGGAAAATCCTGTCACAAAATTATATACAATTACAGGAAAATCCTGTCACAAAATTATACTACAATTACAGGAAAATCCTGTCACAAAATTATATACAGTTACAGGAAAATCCTGTCACAAAATTATATACATTTACAGGAAAATCCTGTCACAAAATTATACTACAATTACAGGAAAATCCTGTCACAAAATTATATACAGTTACAGGAAAATCCTGTCACAAAATTATACTACAATTACAGGAAAATCCTGTCACAAAATTATATACAGTTACAGGAAAATCCTGTCACAAACTTATACTACAATTACAGGAAAATCCTGTCACAAAATTATATACAGTTACAGGAAAATCCTGTCACATTTACAGGAAAATCCTGTCACAAAATTATACTACAATTACAGGAAAATCCTGTCACAAAATTATATACAGTTACAGGAAAATCCTGTCACAAGATTATATACAGTTACAGGAAAATCCCATCACAAAATTATATGCTATTTTTTTAAATTAGTAAGACATTTCTCATTATATAGGGAATTGGCGGAGATGGTCCAGAGGGACCCAAAGGAGACAGAGGCCCACCAGGACCCCGTGGTTTCCGTGGTGATGATGGTCGCTCTGGACTTCCTGGTCCTTCAGGCCCCATGGGTCCAGCTGGCGGACCTGGTATTCCGGGACCTCCAGGACCCCAGGGTGCTGATGGCAGAAAAGGAGAAAGAGGAGAGAAGGGAAATGTTGGTTAGTGGTATAATTCTTGTACATTGGTTCAGTAGAATCATAGAAAGTCATATTACACTAATACAAAGCAAGTACCAGGCATGAGGAGACAAGGTTTTCTCTTCCAGTCCATTGGGACCCAGTGCCAATGCATTTTGTAAAGAAAGGGCTGTGATCACCACCAATTTTTATCTCACATTTAGTGATAATATGGAAGTGAATATTTCTCTGTCTACTGGCCTTTTTTGTCTGACAGGACATCTAAAACAGGTTTTGTCTACAGAGACCTATTCAGGAGTTTTCATGTTCTGATACACCATCATACACTTATAAACCATGTTGACTTTTTATAATGTTTTACAGGCTTACCAGGTATTGATGGTGTCCCTGGACAACCAGGTGTACCAGGTGAGACAGGAGAAGTCGGAAGGAAGGGAGAGCCAGGCCAGAGCATTCCAGGTTTGGATGGACCAATGGGACCCCCCGGACGTGATGGCATACCAGGGTTAAAGGGAGCCCAAGGTTTTGAGGGACCACCAGGTCTTCCTGGAAACTCCACAATGGGACGTCCAGGATTGCCAGGATTAAAGGGAAACACCGGAATGAAGGGATTTCCAGGTCTTAATGGACGTAATGGATTGCCAGGTTTACCTGGAATGAAAGGTATGTTTAAATGTGTAATTGGAAATACAGATCCAATTAACTAATCAAACAGGTGCCTTGATGAGTGGTTTAGATATGTATGTTTTGTACCACTGAGAAATATTTTCTTTAAAAGTATTTCTGAAAAAACACCATGGTTTATTTCTATTTTTGTTTGTTGTAGTTGATATCTGCAAACATTACATCCTTTCATAATGTTTGCTAGTGCTAGAGTTGGTTCCTGCAGTCAGTGACCTTTAACTTTTGTTGTTTACAGGTGACAGAGGTGGCTCCTGCAGTCAGTGCATGCCTGGTATGAAGGGTGAAAAGGGATCAAGTGGTCTTAATGGGATCAGTGGAACTCCTGGTCGCCGTGGTATTAGAGGAGAGTCGGGAGAACGTGGTGTTCCTGGTGAAGATGGAGCCCCTGGAATCCCAGGACGCGTTGGTGATGTTGTAAGTATGGGTGAGAAACTCAGTTATTTTTGGTCTTTAATAACCAATTGTGTGCTGTTATTGGTGAACATTATCTATTGTAAGCTGCTTTTTACCTGTGTCAACCTTTAATTAGGAGGTTGATCAGTATCTTATAATCGTGTATTGTCAGAGATATATAAAAGGGACGCCCCGATCAAGATGAAGTTCCCATTAAATTCAGTGGGAAAAATAGGGAATACATTCTTATATGATAAGTCCTTATGAAGGTATTTGGGAATTTTGTATGTCCAAAAAAATTCATTATGTTTATAAATGGTATGACACCCACCCCCACCTTCCTTGGTGGATTTGTGTCTGAACCCTATAGTAAAATAATGTAATCCTGGAAATCCAAATCAGAGGGATATCAAAAGTTGAATGGTGTGAAATGACTTTGAACAAAAAATGGGATAATTTGGAAGGGGACAGAGAGGCAGTATTGATGAGGGACAAGGGAGATAATGTTTGATGTACTTCTCCTTTGTAGGATTGATCATAAATTAGCTTTAAGATATTCTTTGGCACAGTGAAAAAATCCAGACATTTAAGACTGTTGAAAAAGGAGTTTTACTGAACTCCTCTGGCTACAATAATGGCTGTGAAATATGTGTTTGTTGGCTCTGATGGTGAAGAAGGGAACTGAAGTTTTAATAAGTTTTGAAATTTTGTGTTGTGTTTTTAATAAAATTGTTAATATTTGTTTTTAGGGAGAAAGAGGTCTTCCTGGATTCAGCGGAATGAAGGGACAGAAAGGAGAACAAGCTGTCATTGACCCAAATACACTGATCAAATGTAAGTTTGATAGTGATGGATTCTGCTTTGTCATGATTTATTTGACACAAATGAAAAGAAAATGAAACCTGTTAATTGACATATTTTCAATGTCCCAAACAGGCCACTGTCTTAGTCGATCATTAGTTTTCTGTCTGTCTAGTTGTTATCATGTTTTCTAACACTTCCCAAACAGGCCACTGTCTTAGTCGATCATTAGTTTTCTGTCTGTCTAGTTGTTATCATGTTTTCTAACACTTCCCAAACAGGCCACTGTCTTAGTCGATCATTAGTTTTCTGTCTGTCTAGTTGTTATCATGTTTTCTAACACTTCCCAAACAGGCCACTGTCTTAGCCGATCATTAGTTTTCTGTCTGTCTAGTTGTTATCATGTTTTCTAACACTTCCCAAACAGGCCACTGTCTTAGCCGATCATTAGTTTTCTGTCTGTCTAGTTGTTATCCTGTTTTCTAACACTTCCCAAACAGGCCACTGTCTTAGCCGATCATTAGTTTTCTGTCTGTCTAGTTGTTATCATGTTTTCTAACACTTCCCAAACAGGCCACTGTCTTAGCCGATCATTGGTTTTTCTGTCTGTCTAGTTGTTATCCTGTTTTCTAACACTTCTTCAAGGTTTTGCGTGATAAATATTTGCATTAGTTTGCATTAATATAAACAATGATTATTTTATTTATTATTTTTGTTTATAAATAAATTGAAAAATCCTGTTTTTGTCAGTTTTGAGTACCAGATAATCCTGACAAACAATGATAATCTCTTAGAATGTTTGATTTTTCCATGAAATGAATTGCCTTGAATTGCTTTGACTTGTATATCCTAATATTTGTAATTTTTCACATTTAACAAACTGATTGTGTCTCTTTGAGAATGTTTTAATAGTTGATCAACAATTTCAGGTGAGAAAGGAGATCAAGGTCCATCAGGAAGGGAAGGACTCAAAGGTTTACCTGGTCTTCCTGGTCCTACTGGGCCTGCTGGAATCTCTGGACTGCCTGGTCTGAAAGGAGACAAGGTATAACTTAATCTTACATACCAGTGTATAGCTCCATGTGGGTCAATTATATATTGTCACTTACATCAGTCAAATTAGTAAAGGATTTATCACGGAAACTGATATCAGTCAAAATATTAAAGAATTTATCACAAAATTTTACATCACTCAAATTATTAAAGATTGTATCACTATATCTTCCATCAGTTAGAATGTTAAAGAAATAGTCACAAAGTCTTACCTCAGTCAAAATGTTAATTATTAGCTCACCTGGCCCAAAGTTCTTCTAGCCTCAAACTAGAAATCTAGGTACAGGATCCTGATATTTGTGTATGCTAACAGGGGAGTCACTCTGGGAAGAGTTATTTACCTTTGTTATGTATTTTAGGGTGATGCTGGCTTCCCAGGACAACCTGGACAGTCCGGACTTCCAGGTTTGAAAGGCGATATGGGAAGCAAGGGAGAGTCAGGTTTTGGGTTAGCAGGACAAAAGGGTGCTCGTGGATTCCCTGGTGACAATGGTCTTCCTGGTCTCCGTGGACAGACTGGACAGAAGGGTGTGCCAGGTGAGATAGATTTCTCGATTAGCTTCAATAGAAGTTCCAGTGAATTTAATTCATGGTATATGTGAACAAGCTTGTACATAGGAAAGTTCTGTACATTTCAACTACATCACATCTGATCTTGTGCAGGATATGTATTATTATCCAATTTATATTCTTGGTCTATGGCACTGTGGAGGGTCTGTCAGGTTATACTTTGTGAGAAATGTAGCACATTAAAACTGAGGATACAATTTCATCCACCTTATCATTGAAGTTAGACAACATCATGGTACCTTATTGAAATTAGACAACATCATGGTACCTTATCATTGAAGTTAGACAACATCATGGTACCTTATCATTGAAGTTAGACAACATCATGGTACCTTATCATGGAAGTTAGACAACATCATGGTACCTTATCATTGAAGTTAGACAACATCATGGTTCCTTATTGAAGTTAGACAACATTATGGTACCTTATCATTGAAGTTAGACAACATTATGGTACCTTATCATGGAAGTTAGACAACATCATGGTACCTTATCATTGAAGTTAGACAACATCATGGTACCTATCTATGTAATTTGATATAACTACATTTACAATCTCAAAGTGATCGAAATTATGATGATGTCATGAACAGCCATATTGTTCTCTAATATGCGTTGCTTGTGAAATTTTGTCAGTCTTCTCATAAATGGAGTATATGAGTGTCTTTGTATGACCATAAATATATGCATTCCCATGTCCGTAATTTCGTTTTACCATCTCAGGTGAATCAATTGCCATTAATCCTGAAACCTTGAAGGGTGTGAAGGGAGAGCAGGGTCTGCCTGGAGTTCCTGGCCTGCCAGGACAGGATGGACTGCCAGGAATGAAAGGAGAGCGAGGTTTGTGTACTTTTGTCTATCGTAAATGCTGCTCATGATAGGTATATTGTGATTAATATGGTAAGCGTGTACAGTGTTTTCATTTGAATTCAATGAATTCTGCTTTTAATGAAAGATGTCATATAACAACAGAAGGCATCTTACAGGCGCTAAATGATTTCCTTTCCTGCTATCTCGACATTTTCCTCTGTCATCTTCAATATTAAAAAATTATTCATTGTCGTGGGTAAAACTATTTTTATGACTAATACACGATATAATGAAATATTTGCTTCAGGAAAAATCTACTGTTTATGACCAAACATATTAGTATATATAGTATATATATTGTTTGACGTGAAGGGCAGTATATATATTGTTTGACCTGAAGGGCAGTATATATATTGTTTGACCTGAAGGGCAGTATATATATTGTTTGACCTGAAGGGCAGTATATATATTGTTTGACCTGAAGGGCAGTATATATATTGTTTGACCTGAAGGGCAGTATATATATTGTTTGACCTGAAGGGCAGTATATATATTGTTTGACCTGAAGGGCAGTATATATATTGTTTGACCTGAAGGGCAGTATATATATTGTTTGACCTGAAGGGCAGTATATATATATATTGTTTGACCTGAAGGGCAGTATATATATTATTTGACCTGAAGGGCAGTATATATATTGTTTGACCTGAAGGGCAGTATATATATTGTTTGACCTGAAGGGCATATATATATTGTTTGACCTGAAGGGCAGTATATATATTGTTTGACCTGAAGGGCAGTATATATATTGTTTGACCTGAAGGGCAGTATATATATTGTTTGACCTGAAGGGCAGTATATATATTGTTTGACCTGAAGGGCAGTATATATATTGTTTGACCTGAAGGGCAGTATATATATTGTTTGACCTGAAGGGCAGTATATATATTGTTTGACCTGAAGGGCAGTATATATATTGTTTATATATATTGTTTGACTGAAGGGCAGTATATATATTGTTTGACCTGAAGGGCAGTATATATATTGTTTGACCTGAAGGGCAGTATATATATTGTTTGACCTGAAGGGCAGTATATATATTGTTTGACCTGAAGGGCAGTATATATATTGTTTGACCTGAAGGGCAGTATATATATTGTTTGACCTGAAGGGCAGTATATATATTGTTTGACCTGAAGGGCAGTATATATATTGTTTGACCTGAAGGGCAGTATATATATTGTTTGACCTGAAGGGCAGTATATATATTGTTTGACCTGAAGGGCAGTATATATATTGTTTGACCTGAAGGGCAGTATATATATTGTTTGACGTGAAGGGCAGTATATATATTGTTTGACGTGAAGGGCAGTATATATATTGTTTGTCAGTAAAGGGCAGTATATATATGTTTTGACCTGACAATATATTGTGAGCACATATATATCCTAGATATATATTCTCAACTTTTGAGAAACATTAAGTTGTGTAATTACCTGTTGATATAAAGATAAACATTGCTGAAATGATTAATCATCACATAGAATACCACTTAACGGGTTTATTTTTCCCATAAATAAATTTCACTGTATTGAAATATGTGAAGACCAGAATACTTTTTTTAGTCATATCATATTTTTCACTATTTAAAAAGATATGAAAACATGTAACATTATTCTTTCTCAATCATAATTTAACAGTTTAATTATCGCTTTTGAGAAAATAGCAGAAATAATGTGCTAGTGAAAAATAAATAAATAATTCCAAAAATATATCATTTGTAGGCTTACCTGGTGAGCGTGGTGCAGCTGGTCTCCCGGGGCCAAATGGACTGCCTGGATTTGATGGAACGAAAGGAGAACGTGGACTTCCTGGTCTGAATGGCATTAAGGGTGGGTTATTTAAAATTTCTATCATTCCTAAAATTCTTTATCACAGCATTTAAAAGCTTGGTTGTGTCAAGTGTTCTTAAAAGTCCTAGTCTTGAAAGACCGCTACAGCCAAAGGACCAAGTCTACATTAGAAATATGAAAATAAATATGGTGTACCCTTTTACATGTACAAATTAATCAATTAAACTCAAGTGACAATGACATGTTAAATGAGAAATTGTCATGAATTAATACCTGTCATAGAAAGGAGTTTCTTTTATTTGATTAAACATGATTTCTCCAGGTGAGCGGGGTCAATCTGGTATCCCTGGCAACGCTTTGGAGGGACGCAAGGGAGAGCCTGGACGTAATGGTATACCTGGAGAAAGAGGTCAAGCTGGATCTCCAGGAGCACCAGGTATTGTACTTCTATCTGATATGTTATTAAACTGTCTATACCTTACATAGGTAATGTGGTATTGTCTTGTAAAATTCTACATTACCTGAAAGATGTTCATCTATATGATAGACTGTGATGTACCATTTTAATCTTTTGTGTTAATATACCAAGATTTTTAGCATTTGTCTTTTACCTTTCAGTTTGTTTGATGTTAATTCCTGTTGGATCGCTGTGCGTTTTACCGGTTAATGGCACTAATGACATTTTATGTGGTGACGGGCCGTTAAGACTGTAATAACAATGATGTTATAGGAATAAAGACATAAGAGATTACAATTAATGATTTGGGAATACCATAGTTATGTTAGGGCATGTGAAAAGTGACAGCTTATTAGAAAGAACAGAAAAATACGTTCCTTCAGATTAAATTAGAAGTTTGATTTTGAGTTGTACTCAAGAAGTGTAATGTTACTCAGGCAATCTCTCTCTACCTTATAACATAGGAACCATGGAGAATTACTGTGTTCACCTTGTTTTGTAAACTAAAATAACAATTGGTTTTATATGACCCTGACCTTTTTAACCTTGTGTTTTATGACTCTAAACCTACTATTGGTTTTATGTGACCCTGACCTTTTTAACCTTGTGTATTAGGACACTAAACCTACTATTGGTTTTATATGACCCTGACCTTTTTAACCTTGTGTTTTATGACTCTAAACCTACTATTGGTTTTATATGACCCTGACCTTTTTAACCTTGTGTATTAGGACACTAAACCTACTATTGGTTTTATATGACCCTGACCTTTTTAACCTTGTGTATTAGGACACTAAACCTCCTGTTGACTGTATATGACCTTGACATTTTAACCTTTTGTAGTAGGACACTAAATCTACTATTGAATGTATGTGACCTTGACCAATTTGACCTTTGTACTCCAGGTCTACAAGGATTGGCAGGATTGCCTGGAATGAAAGGTGACTCTGGCTCTCCAGGATTGCCAGGAATGGAGGGATTACCAGGAATGAAGGGCGACAGGGGACAGGATGGAGTTCCTGGAGAGAGAGGACAGGTTGGACCTGAGGGATTACCAGGACTTCCAGGTAAGTGTCTGCACTGGTTATTGTTTTCCTTGCAATAGTTCTATAGATATTTTCTTAGTTGTTATTTACATCACAAATCTGTGGTTATGATGTTTTTTCTTAATTCATACCTCAGGTGTGGACATGATTAATAAGGTTGGAAATCATAGCAGTTTCCTGTAGGAAAGTGATAACTATCTTTTTCTTCATAGAAAAATGTCATTTTGTCTTTGATGAAGGAATAACATTGTGATGGAGACATACTTATGTCTGGAATGGATTTGTATGTACAATCATTTCACAGTTGAAATTATAACATGCAGTTAAATTCTGGTGACAATGTGTAATAAAGTCTTACCTACCACTGGACAGGTGACCCAGGACAGAAGGGATCATCAGGACTACCAGGTGTAAACGGACTTCCAGGACAGAAAGGTCAGTCTGGAGAAGATGGTGTTCCAGGTCAGGCTGGTCTGCCAGGGCTTGATGGCCCCCAGGGACCCCCAGGACCAGCTGGAAATGATGGACTTCCAGGGCTTCCAGGTAAGATAGCAAACTAAAAAGGGAGCTAAATATTAATCAAATGGTCAGGAGGTTGTGTTATAATTCTTCATGATTAATAAGACAAGAAGGGATAAATTAGATGATGTAGTCACAAAATTTGTCAGAAGAACAGTGACCTGATAGCATTATATACAGATTGACCTAATTTAAACTGTACAGGAAACAGATGATAGTCATATGGTTTCATGGCACCTGTCGCTGACGAAGGTAATGGTCATACAACACCTGTCACCTGCAGGTGGAGAGCAGGAATGGGACATATAACAAAAAGCAAATGTATAAGTTCTAAGTACAGTCAAAACCTAGTTATATTGAAATCCTTGGGGAATGACAAAATACTTCAAAGTATCTGGGTTTCAGTATAACCAAGGACAAGCATGTTAGAATTTGTTCCCCATTCTAGGAACATGTTATCGACGTGTATGATAGTGTACGGTACTAGTAAAATGCTTGTACATGCAGCAAACAAAACACAATATACATACATGTAGATGAACAGTTTATTGTGTTCAATATTGCAGCCCAGCAGTGTACTTGGATTAATTCCAAAATCTCTTGCAATATCACTTTTAGCTTATCTGTTTGATCAACAGATTGAATCAGTTTAATTTTTCGTTGATCGTAAGTTGTTAACGTATTTTACTGGAGCAAGCTATTACAACTGCTGTCCTATTTTTTATTTTAATGTAGACTGACTTAGACAGGTGTTTGAATAGCAAACACAACTCACTGATTAATACTGATTGATATATTTCTGTTGTATCCACCTTTAACCTGCTTTATTGACATTGTACTCTACAAAGCATGACAACCCCCAATTGTGGGTCAAAGTGGCTTTCAAAAGAAGCAGTGTGAAAACAATGACTTTGTGTTGCCAAGGGATGGAATTTTCTTTTAAATAAAGCGGGATTTCAAATTAAGTGCACTCACATTAAGCAGCATATAGATATAAAGACAAAGAAGAGGGCTGAGGATTTCATTCTTTTTCCAATTAAGCAGTATTTCAATATATCAGAGGTCAAATTTCAGTGGGTTTAATTGTGTAAAACATTACCTTTTGTCAGATTTTTTTCCTGGTAGCAGAGTAGATATTGATAGAAAATCTCACTTTACTTTTGATATACCTTCACACTAAACATGCCACCAAATTGTGGTTTCTGATTTCTGTGTAAATAGTTAATTAAATATCAACATAACCAGAACACTGACTCCTGTTTCTCCCCTCTCATTCAACAGGAGCCAAGGGTGACAGTGGTGCAGTGGGTTTCCCAGGAGAACCTGGGCGTGATGGAATCAATGGTTTACCTGGATCAAAGGGAGAGAAAGGTTTTGCTGGCGCTGCTGGTGTTCCTGGAGCTGCTGGGGACCCAGGTCGTCCAGGTAAGAATTTGTCCCTTACTTTGTAAAAGAGCCTGGCTATCCAGGTAAATGTTTGTCCCTGAATATGTAGAGGAGCTGGACTATCCAGAATCTTGAAGCAATTGCAATATACTTTTCATAGTATTCTTAAGATGAATTAAGGTTTATAGTTATAGGTTAAAGGTGGAACATTACCACTGCTCCACCCGGCACTCATGTGTACATCAACACTAACAAGTACTCTCAGAGTTTTACTTTGTATCTTGTTGTTAAGTATGAAGAATTTTGATATCAGCCATTTCCTGTTGTAGGATTTAAGGGAGACCCAGGTATTCCAGGATTTCCAGGATTGGACGGTGCCCCTGGTGAGGACGGAGCTCCTGGCAGGAAAGGAGAAAGAGGCCCAGGAGGAGAAGCTGGCTTAGTGGGAGAACCTGGTCGAAATGGTAAAAAATTTCTCAGTATAATGATGTGTTAACACTGCAAATAGTCTTTGTTGATTATGTTCAAATGTAGATATCATGTTTATGAAATTTGGAACTTTCTTATCTTGTCAAAAGTAAACTTTCAATCATTATAACCTTTAGTATGCTGTGTTGATATTCTAAGTGGTCAAATGATACTGAATTTTATAATGCACATACTGACTGTCGCCCATCAGATGGGATGAATATGGGGCCACCAAAGGGGGGAGTGGCATCCTTTGTGTTTTTGATACAAATTGAAGGATGATAGTGAAGAAATACACTATATTAAGTTATGGTAAGTACTGCATCCTGAAAAATGGATGGACAAATGTTTTCATGTTTTAGCAAATCTTTGCAACTGATATATATATTTCTCCAAGAACTAAATACTCTTTAAAATAACTTTTGCTGTTGTACTTTTTGTATTACATAATATTGAATAGAGGATGATTTTTATCATTGAAGGTTTAGACGGAATTCCGGGATCAAAGGGAGACCCTGGATTCCCAGGTGTTGGTTTGCCAGGACAGGATGGACTTCCTGGAGAGGCTGGGCGCCCAGGAGAGCCAGGGCGTGAAGGACCTCCTGGCCAAAAGGGAGAAGAAGGGATGCCAGGTTTCCCAGGAATGAAGGGAGACAAGGTTGGCAATGTTTGATATTTTTATTCTGTATGTTTTATGAGTTGCACACAAATTTTATACTGACAATAGACATGAAAAACACTGTAAAACATATTTTTGTTTGACAAATAAAATGAACTGATTTTGTAAGAAAATCAAGATTATTGTAAAGAAATGGATATTATTGGATGATTTTCATAGATAATATTTACGCAATTATCAACCTGTTTTAGGTAAATATCATTATATATGAACCTGAGAAAGTGATATATCTTGAGGTCTCAAGCCTTGGTATATATCACATTTTAGGGTCAATAAATCATTGTATTCAAAGTGTTTCATAGTGTTTAATTATGTGACATTTCTCCGACGTCTTCACTTTAAAAAAAAAAAGATTTCATTAGATACAATGGACAGAATGAAATATTAGTGGTCAATGGGTGAAAGAGGAAAGGTTTAAAATTACAATGAAAATATACAAATGTTAAACTTAATGGATAATTTGGTATATTTGAAATTCAACAAATTTAATAAACAATTACATAACAAAACGTGACGATCAATTTCAGACAATACTGTAGTATTGTCATTTAAGTGTTACACTATCGGGATACAAACAAGCATTGTTGGATTGTTATATTAATTTGGAGAGGTGTTATGATGTCTGTGATGGCACAGGATACAGGGAAGCCCATTGTTACTATATTTGGAAAAAACTTGTGTTATTCATCTGTTTTATCAACTGCTGATTGGCCAATCAGAAAAAAGTGGAATAACCCAGTCGTGTAATGATAAACATGATATCTCTGCATTAGATGTTTATTATACAGATAACCTATATTACAGGGATCTTCTGGAATACCAGGGCTTCAGGGACTTCCAGGTCTGGATGGCTTACCTGGAATGAAAGGTACAGTATTTATGTAGCAACATGTCCTTATTTGGTAATAAGTCCTCATGTATCTTGTAATTGTTCAGGTACCTTATTAAAAAGCAACTAGACCAATATCACTTTAGTTAGGTCTAATGCCCAAGTAATTTAATCAAAAATCCAATATCAATATAATTTAGTCCATTGTCAGTATAATTCAGTCAGATGTCAGTATAATGTAGTCCAATGTCAGTATAATTCAGTCAGATGTCAGTATAATGTAGTCCATTGTCAGTATAATTCAGTCAGATGTCAGTATAATGTAGTCCAATGTCAGTATAATTCAGTCAGATGTCAGTATAATGTAGTCCAATGTCAGTATAATTCAGTCAGATGTCAGTATAATGTAGTCCAATGTCAGTATAATTCAGTCAGATGTCAGTATAATGTAGTCCAATGTCAGTATAATTCAGTCAGATGTCAGTATAATGTATTCCAATGTCAGTATAATTCATTCAGATGTCAGTATAATGTAGTCCAATGTCAGTATAATTCAGTCAGATGTCAGTATAATGTAGTCCATTGTCAGTATAATTCAGTCAGATGTCAGTATAATGTAGTCCAATGTCAGTATAATGTAGTCCAATGTCAGTATAATTCAGTCAGATGTCAGTATAATGTAGTCCAATGTCAGTATAATGTAGTCCAATGTCAGTATAATGTAGTCCAATGTCATTATAATGTAGTCCAATGTCAGTATAATTCAGTCAGATGTCAGTATAATGTAGTCCAATGTCAGTATAATGTAGTCCAATGTCAGTATAATTCAGTCAGATGTCAGTATAATGTAGTCCAATGTCAGTATAATGTAGTCCAATGTCAGTATAATTCAGTCAGATGTCAGTATAATGTAGTCCAATGTCAGTATAATGTAGTCCAATGTCAGTATAATTCAGTCAGATGTCATATAATGTAGTCCAATGTCAGTATAATTCAGTCAGATGTCAGTATAATGTAGTCCAATGTCAGTATAATTCAGTCAGATGTCAGTATAATGTAGTCCAATGTCAGTATAATTCAGTCAGATGTCAGTATAATGTAGTCCAATGTCAGTATAATGTAGTCCAATGTCAGTATAATGTAGTCCAATGTCAGTATAATGTAGTCCAATGTCAGTATAATTCAGTCAGATGTCAGTATAATGTAGTCCAATGTCAGTATAATTCAGTCAGATGTCAGTATAATGTAGTCCAATGTCAGTATAATGTAGTCCAATGTCAGTATAATTCAGTCAGATGTCAGTATAATGTAGTCCAATGTCAGTATAATGTAGTCCAATGTCAGTATAATTCAGTCAGATGTCAGTATAATGTAGTCCAATGTCAGTATAATTCAGTCAGATGTCAGTATAATGTAGTCCAATGTCAGTATAATGTAGTCCAATGTCAGTATAATTCAGTCAGATGTCAGTATAATGTAGTCCAATGTCAGTATAATGTAGTCAGTCAGATGTCAGATATAAATGTAGTCCAATGTCAGTATAATTCAGTCAGATGTCAGTATAATGTAGTCCAATGTCAGTATAATGTAGTCCAATGTCAGTATAATGTAGTCCAATGTCAGTATAATTCAGTCAGATGTCAGTATAATGTAGTCCAATGTCAGTATAATTCAGTCAGATGTCAGTATAATGTAGTCCAATGTCAGTATAATTCAGTCAGATGTCAGTATAATGTAGTCCAATGTCAGTATAATTCAGTCAGATGTCAGTATAATGTAGTCCAATGTCAGTATAATTCAGTCAGATGTCAGTATAATGTAGTCCAATGTCAGTATAATTCAGTCAGATGTCAGTATAATGTAGTCCAATGTCAGTATAATTCAGTCAGATGTCAGTATAATGTAGTCCAATGTCAGTATTATTTAGAAAGTTGATTATTATCCATTAAATATGTGTCTTTGTTTCACAGGAAACCCTGGACTGAATGGTTTGTCAGGTCTCCCTGGAAGTAAGGGTACAAAAGGAACTGCAGGTTTTGCTGGTATTCCAGGCTCTGCTGGACGTCCTGGCCCTCCAGGACCTGCAGGACCTCCTGGTTTCCCAGGACTTAAGGGAGAACGTGGTGTTGTTGGAGAGCCTGGCCGTGATGGTAGTTATATATCGTCATTTGGTCTGAAAATTTACTCTTATTAACAGTGTAATGAAATGATATTTTTGGATTAATTATTCATATGGATGTTTATTTATAAAGGTTTCAGATTGCTCTCCGGCATTTATTAGTATCTAGAAAAAGAATTAGTTATCGAATAAATATGTGTCGGTACTTTACAGGAAATCCTGGTTTACCTGATTGCTTCTATAAGATATATTTTTACATTACAGGAAATCCTGGTTTACCTGGACAGAAAGGAAATTCAGGTCTTCCTGGATTTGATGGTCGTTCCGGACAGAAGGGGCAGGAGGGTTTGCCTGGAATCCCTGGACAAAAAGGTTAGATATACTCCTTATACAACTAGTTAAATTATCAGTTAGATAAAATTAGTTATACTTTATGTAAAGTTAACTCTAGTAGGCACTTTTGGTACTTCTGTCTTGGTATCAGTTCTCTTTATTAAGGGATTGTTTGCCTGTTTTTGTTGGGGGTTTTTACGGTTTTTTGTTGGGGAAGGGGGTGTGAGATATGAGTGGGCCCCTGGCTAACAGATCTAGTTGGTATATTGTAGGAGAATTGACTTTAGTCACCATAAATTAGCCCTTGTCTAGAACCTGAGCTTAATTAACAGTGACTTAATATCAGTCCTCCCACAACGAAAACTAATAGCTTTAGTAAACTCTGGAAAACTGTTGTGGTACTTTTGTCTTGGTATTATTTTTTTAGTATGTAAAGTTTGTTGGTTATTTTTGTTTTTGCACATTTTTTTTTAATTCATGGAATATAATGACTGAGACATGACAGTTGTAAATTTTCTATAATTTTGTTGAATAAGAAATATGGTAGACTGGTGGCAATGTTATGTGAGAAGAGCACATTGGTTTGGTGCTGATACAGAGACGATCACACAACAGTCTATCACATGGATAAAAATGTATTTTTGTTATTCTTTCAGGAGACAAAGGAGATCGTGGACTGCCAGGTATTGATGGACGACCAGGATTGTCAGGCATCAAGGGAGAAACAGGTAAAATGATCCTTAAACTCCAAGAACAGACAGGTAACACAGACCTTATATACCAGGGGACACACAGGTAACACAGACCTTATATACCAGGGGACACACAGGTAACACAGACCTTATATACCAGGGGACACACAGGTAACACAGACCTTATATACCAGGGGACACACAGGTAACACAGACCTTATATACCAGGGGACACACAGGTAACACAGACCTTATATACCAGGGGACACACAGGTAACACAGACCTTATATACCAGGCAACAGACAGGTAACACAGACCTTATATACCAGGGGACACACAGGTAACACAGACCTTATATACCAGGGGACACACAGGTAACACAGACCTTATATACCAGGGGACACACAGGTAACACAGACCTTATATACCAGGGGACACAGGTAACACAGACCTTATATACCAGGCAACAGACAGGTAACACAGACCTTATATACCAGGGGACACACAGGTAACACAGACCTTATATACCAGGGGACACACAGGTAACACAGACCTTATATACCAGGGGACACACAGGTAACACAGACCTTATATACCAGAGGACACACAGGTAACACAGACCTTATATACCTGGGGACACACAGGTAACACAGACCTTATATACCAGGGTACACACAGATAATACAGACCTTATATACCAGGGGACACACAGGTAATACAGACTTTATATACCAGGGAACACACAGGTAACACAGACCTTATATACCAGGGAACACACAGGTAACACAGACCTTATATACCAAGGGAACAGACGGGTAACACAGACCTTATATACCAGAGGACACACAGGTAACACAGACCTTATATACCAGGGGACACGCAGGTAACACAGACCGTATATACCAGGGGACGCACGGGTAACACAGACCTTATATACCAGGGGACACACGGGTAACACAGACAGTATATACCACGGGACACACAGGTAACACAGATCTTTTAATTTTCATATGAAAAGAATGAAAAAAAAGATCACTGTGTGTATACATATTTAATATATGGGTCAAGTAAGAGCTTACAATAATGGATCTCAAAATGATTTTTTATTTGGACAGGTGTGAGTGGACGCCCAGGTGTTAAGGGTGAGCCTGGACGCTCAGCTGCAGGAATAAAGGGAGAGACTGGAGCAAGAGGACCTCCAGGACTTAACGGTTTGCCAGGCATGAAGGGTGAATCAGGTACATTTGTCATTACTTATATGTCAAGGTCATGGATCAAGCAAAATACAAAGTTCCAACATTGGGTCAAGTAATATGCAGAGGTCAAACATGGGGTCAGGTGATATACAGAGGTCATCATGGGGTCAAGCAATATACAGAGGTCAAACAAAGGTCAGTTAGTAAACAGGCAAAACAAGGGGTTAAGTTATGTACGAAGATCAAACAAGGTGTCAAATGATATACAGAGGTCAAACATGGGGTCAAGTAATAAAAGGTCATAAAGGTAGAAGAGAAGAAAAAAGGTGTGAAACATTTTCTTCAGGTTGGTAAGTATGAATGAAAATTCATATATCTCAAAAAAGTCCTAAAAATGATGAATGATATCAGACAAATGATCAGTGGGAAGCATATTTGCACAGAGGTATACTGCTTACAAGATGGTAATAAAATCTAAGGACTTCCTTCTAACTTGTTTACTATTTCTTAAGAAGTAGTGAAGGGATATCTCTCAAATTTTATATGTAGCTTTCTCTTTGACCCAAGTTGTGACAGTTAAATTTAAAGTGTGATCAGTGAAGCAAATTAGCCAACAGGTAGCCATCTTGGATATTGACAATTGAAAAATTTGATGTGTATGTTCTGCTATGTCCCTAATTGTGACATATAAATTTGGGATTGGTTAGTAAAACAAAATGGCCAACAGGCAACCATCTTAGACTGCCTTGCTAAAGGTTATCACTTATTCTTCAGAGGAATATTCGGATTTCATGTAATTAACAACAAATCTGGACAAAAGGAAATAACAACAGGAAAGATCTGAGAAGACAAAACAATAGTGTGTCCTAACATCCCTGAGTGATTTCTTGTCTGTTATGTGAAGTTTTTACCTTGTAACTTTTTGGTTGCAGGACCTGCTGGACGTGATGGATTACCTGGTATGAAGGGAGATCGTGGAGAGGATGGTATCGGACTCCCTGGAGCTAAAGGAGAGCAAGGATTTACAGGAGTTCCAGGTAAATGTTTCATCTTCCCTGTCTTCCTTGAATTTACATTACAAGTTTACCTTTCTGTGTCTTAAGCAGGTTTGAATTTACATCACAACTTTACCTTTCTGTGTCTTAGGCAGGTTCAACTGTTTGTTCAGGTTTACACATTTACCTGTATATTAGAGTTTTTTTCTATCTATACAATAAAGGTTTAGAGATTTACCTGTATATTAGAGTTTTTTCTATCTATACAATAAAGGTTTAGACATTTACCTGTATATTAGAGTTTCCTTCTATCTATACAATAAAGATTTAGAGATTTACCTGTATATTAGAGTTTTTTCTATCTATACAATAAAGATTTACACATTTACCTGTATGTTAGAGTTTTTTCTATCTATACAATAAAGATTTAGAGATTTACCTGTATATTAGAGTTTTTTCTATCTATACAATAAAGGTTTACACATTTACCTGTATGTTAGAGTTTTTTCTATCTATACAATAAAGGTTTACACATTTACCTGTATGTTAGAGTTTTTTCTATCTATACAATAAAGATTTAGAGATTTACCTGTATATTAGAGTTTTTTCTATCTATACAATAAAGGTTTAGAGATTTACCTGTATATTAGAGTTTCCTTCTATCTATACAATAAAGATTTAGAGATTTACCTGTATATTAGAGTTTTTTCTATCTATACAATAAAGATTTACACATTTACCTGTATGTTAGAGTTTTTTCTATCTATACAATAAAGATTTAGAGATTTACCTGTATATTAGAGTTTTTTCTATCTATACAATAAAGGTTTACACATTTACCTGTATGTTAGAGTTTTTTCTATCTATACAATAAAGGTTTACACATTTACCTGTATGTTAGAGTTTTTTCTATCTATACAATAAAGATTTAGAGATTTACCTGTATATTAGAGTTTTTTCTATCTATACAATAAAGGTTTAGAGATTTACCTGTATATTAGAGTTTCCTTCTATCTATACAATAAAGATTTAGAGATTTACCTGTATATTAGAGTTTTTTCCAATAAAGATTTACACATTTACCTGTATGTTAGAGTTTTTTCTATCTATACAATAAAGATTTAGAGATTTACCTGTATATTAGAGTTTTTTCTATCTATACAATAAAGGTTTACACATTTACCTGTATGTTAGAGTTTTTTCTATCTATACAATAAAGGTTTACACATTTACCTGTATGTTAGAGTTTTTTCTATCTATACAATAAAGATTTAGAGATTTACCTGTATATTAGAGTTTTTTCTATCTATACAATAAAGGTTTAGAGATTTACAGAGTTTTTTCTATCTATACAATAAAGGTTTAGAGATTTACCTGTATATTAGAGTTTTTTCTATCTATACAATAAAGGTTTAGAGATTTACCTGTATATTAGAGTTTTTTCTATCTATACAATAAAGGTTTAGACATTTACCTGTATATTAGAGTTTCCTTCTATCTGTAAGTTGAGGTTTAGAAGTTTATCTGATAGTTTATCTGTACCCTGAGGATTTGTTTATCACCTACAGGACAGCCAGGAATCCGTGGAGAGCCTGGAGAAGATGGTGCTCCTGGAATTCCAGGTGCCAAGGGCAATCAGGGTGAACGAGGCTTCCCAGGACTACCAGGAATGAAAGGAAATGTTGGACCATCAGGTCCTCAAGGTTAGTGAACTTAACCTACATCTAGTCCTCAAAGTTAGTGAACTTACATCTACATCTTGTCCTCAAAGTTACTGAACTTACATCTACATCTAGTCCTCAAAGTTAAGTGAACTTACATCTACATCTAGTCCTCAAAGTTAGTGAACTTAATCTACATCTAGTCCTCAAAGTTAGTGAACTTAATCTACATCTAGTCCTCAAAGTAAGTGAACTTAATCTACATCTAGTCCTCAAAGTTAGTGAATTTAGTCTACATCTAGTCCTCAAAGTTAGTGAACTTAATCTACATCTAGTCCTCAAAGTTACTGAACTTAATCTACATCTTGTCCTCAAAGTTAGTGAACTTAATCTACATCTAGTCCTCAAAGTTAGTGAACTTAATCTACATCTAGTCCTCAAAGTTAGTGAACTTACATCTACATCTAGTCCTCAAAGTTAGTGTGAGTTAAATGTTGAAATTGAAGATATCTTATTGAAAAAATATTTACACCTTGTGCAGATTTCATTCTCAGCAAGTTTAACATCATTGTTTCTGAATACAGGTCAGCCTGGACTCCCCGGATCATTCGGACTGAAGGGTAGTACTGGAGATCCAGGACCTTCCGGATTCCCTGGAACTCCAGGCTTGAAAGGAGAACCTGGACGTGCTGGTTTCCCAGGATTAAAGGGTGAAAGAGGTTGGTAGATATCTACAAATGTTTTATATATCAGTTTTCTTGGTTACATAAATCCTGTTGAAAATTCATCTTATATGGTGATGTGTAGTGATACTATTTCAATATTATATAGATATTATTTACATAATTATATAGATATTATTTACATAATTATATAGATATTATTTACATAATTATATAGATATTATTTACGTAATTATATAGATATTATTTACATAATAATATAGATATTATTTACGTAATTATATATATGTTATTTACGTAATTACATAGATATTATTTACGTAATTATATATATATTATTTACGTAATTATATATATATTATTTACATAATTATATATATATTATTTACGTAATTATATATATATTATATACGTAATTATATATATATTATATACGTAATTATATAGATATCATTTACGTAATTATATATATATCATTTACGTAATATATATATATCATATACGTAATTATATAGATATTATTTACGTAATTATATAGATATTATTTACGTAATTATATATATATATTATTTATGTAATTATATATATATCATATACGTAATTATATAGATATTATTTACGTAATTATATAGATATTATTTAAAACAGTTTTATCATAAATGTTTTGGTGTTGATGAAACTAATAGATGTGAGTGTTGTTTTGTGAACAGGCCTACAAGGTTTTAACGGTTCAAAGGGCGAACAAGGACCACCTCCATTTATTCCTGACAGACTCCTTCAGCCTGGTCCAAAAGGAGACAAGGGACAGCCTGGCCAGAATGGACTGCCTGGTGCAGATGGCTTGCGTGGAGAGCCTGGACCTATGGGTAGGGAACAGAGATAGCAAAAAAACCAGTTGTTAATAAAAGAGAGCTTAATCCAGGTATAAATATGAGAGAGCTTAAACCTGGTATAAATATGAGAGAGCTTAAACCTGGTGTAAATATGAGAGAGTTTAAACCTTATGTAACTATGAAAAACAGTAAATCTGGTGTAAATATGAAAGAGATTAAACCTTGTGTAAATATAAGAGAATTAAAACCTGGTGTAAAGATAAGAGAGTTTAAACCTGATGAAAATATGAGAGAATTTAAACCTGGTGTAAATATGAGAGAGTTTAAACCTGATGAGAATACGATAGAGCTTAAACCTGGTGTAAATATGAGAGAGTTTAAACCTGATGAAAATACGATAGAGCTTAAACCTGGTGTAAATATGAGAGAATTTAAACCTGGTGTAAATATGAGAGAATTTAAACCTGGTGTAAATATGAGAGAACTAAATAGTAAAAAAGCAATACTGTAAGAGAAGTTGTTTCCACACTAGAATACATTGCAGTACAAATATGGCTATGGAATTCTGAAGGTCTTATTGGAGTTTATTTAGATTTGCTGATTTATGGCCTGACTTCTATTAGTTCACATCTGACCTTATTTCACCTTTGATTACAGGATTCAAGGGAGAGAGAGGACCAAGGGGAGAGGATGGACTGAATGGCTTCCCAGGCCAGAAGGGTGATATAGGGGCAAGAGGATTCCAAGGAAGTAGAGGCAACGATGGACTTCCTGGTGGGTGTTACATTCAAACCGTAAACAAATTTAATAAGACAAGGATTCTAGAGGCACAGTGGATAAGATAATGATGATATCTCTTTTATCTTAACTGATTTATCGTCCAGAATCCACACACAAAATTTAGTATGAAGCTTTATAAATATGCTGCATCCATTCTTTACTGCAAGTCTCTTTTAATGCATGGATATTCAGAACATTTCTCAGAGATTTTGAATAAGATTTATCTTAAGATATAAATATCTACATAGTTATCATTTATAAAGCTGGATCTAATCAATGTATCTACATAAACATATGTTCTCTGTTCCTGTCAGGACCCCGTGGACCTGAGGGACCTGTTGGAGAACCTGGACTGCCTGGTTTGACACCGCCCTCTGGATTTATGATGGTCAGACACAGTCAGACCATTGACACACCTCAATGTCCACTCGGACTTACCCCATTATGGACTGGCTACAGCTTGTTATATATTGAAGGAAACGAGCGCTCACAACACCAAGATCTCGGTAAGTTTCTCATGTGCCTGCTTAATTTCAATTTCAAAAGTTGGATTTAGAATATTTAATCTTTCCAACCTAAATCAATGATTTCTTGATTAATAGATGACAATGTGGTTGTTTAATGACCCTAAATAAAAAAAACTTAAGGAGGTAATATACTTTACTCAAAATTGAAAATCATAAAGCTATGCTTCAGAATGTAACTCATGTAAAATACCCTTGACAAGAACTATGTAGGACAAGCTCTGATCTACCAGAACCCGATAGGTTACTCCAGTTAAACAAAAAAAATACATCTATTTCAATTGATCTTTGTCTTTTATATTACCTTGGATACTAGGGTCACCATGAATATATTATCTTTGACCTCTTTGTTACCTTGGATGCTTGGGTCACCATCAATATATGATCTTTGACCTCTATGTTACCTTGGATACTAGGGTCACCATGAATATATGATCTTTGACCTCTTTGTTACCTTGGATACTAGGTCTCGCTGGTTCCTGCATGAGGAGATTCAGCACCATGCCATTCCTTTACTGCAACACAAACAATGTTTGCAACTATGCCAGTCGTAACGACAAATCTTATTGGCTGGCAACCAATGCTAACCTTCCCATGATGCCTGTGGGAGGACAGGATCTGTCCGAGTACATCAGTAGATGTGTGGTATGCGACGCTCCATCCAATATTATTGCCGTCCACAGTCAGACCCTCAGTATACCAGACTGCCCCACTGGCTGGAATGGTCTCTGGATTGGATACAGCTTTGCCATGGTATGCTTTCTGATTAACCTCGATTTGTTAAAATTTATCTTTCACCAGAATACAATCAACAATCAAAACTTGTGAATCCCGATTGGATAAACATTGGAGGCAAACTGAATGTGTTTATAATCATGAACTAGACAGTAACACACTGATCCATATTCAGGATACTGATTCTTTTTAACTCTGATCTGGATATATAGGCTTAATAAACCTGTGTCCAGTATATTATTATTATTATTACAAAATGGAAGAAATTAAGCAAATTGTAAGTATTCCTTTCTCACTTTTTAAAAAATATTCAAATTCCTTCAACCTTACAATTTTTCATTAAGAATTATTGTACTTCTTGTTTCATAGCACACTGGCGCTGGTCCTAGTGGAGGTGGTCAGTCCCTGTCCAGCCCTGGAAGTTGTCTTGAAGACTTTAGGGCCACGCCTTTCATCGAGTGTAATGGCGCCCAAGGCACCTGTCATTACTACGCCAACAAATTCAGCTTCTGGCTGACTACCATAGAGAGAAACGCAGAATTTTCACCACCCCAACAAATGACACTTAAAGCAGGCTCTCTGAGGACAAGAGTCAGTAGATGCCAAGTTTGTATGAAATTAGTGTAGGGCCTCTCTGTGACATTAAAATTTAATGGATATTAGAATTTTTTTAATCTATGGAAAAGTACTTTAAAGCTTGCATTGGTCATGATAAAATGTTCACTTGTATGATAATGATTAAATGCTGAATGCGGTTGTGTCTACTACATGCGTTCACTGGTAAAACCAAAATGTGCCTTACAACCAATTACTGGTACTAATGGGGTGTGTACAACTTCAGTATTTTTTTTTTTAACATTTTTTTAGTATCAAGTTTTATTGAAATGCAAGTTTTTTATATGGATTTTATAATTCATCTGTTTATATTGTATTTGTGTATATGTGTAGCTGTTTGTGTCAGGTGGGAGGGAGGGTTCTTATTTTAACAGAGGATTTCACCTTTGCCTTACATGATGGAAATCTTCATCCTGTGGAGGTAGAGAAGCATTAGTTACAGGAAACCTTAATTAAGTTAATTAATTAAGTTTTCAAGAATATAATAGATGTACTTAAAGAGATAATACTGTCACATCCAGTCATTATTAGGATTATAAACACACTATCTTATGTGTGTCTGTCCCAGTGGGGTTTCCACGGCACTATCAAACACGATGGTTTATCTGTGTTATCTGTGTTCTATACAATGTTACCTGTATCATGCATTATGGTGTATTTCTGTAAAGCTGTATTAGCAAAAGCTTATGAAATGTGTTTGAGTGAGCTATCATATCTCTTGTTTGATGTCAGCAAAAATGGTTTTCAAATTAGGTAAATAAATCACTGCACCATTAGGTTAATCTTATGTGTTTAAGTATTAAACGTGTTATTTGTACAGAGTGAACGAAAGACTTTTTTTATCATGTTTACAACAAAATACTCAATGAAATTCTTATAAATAACAAAAAATAAATTGTGTGAGTTTTTAGTAGTCTTAAGATGACTGCTATTTCAGAAATAATTATTTTGTCGTATATATATATGATTGGGGATTTTAACAGCTTATCTAGTCACTTATTTTTACAATTAAGTGAACAAAGCCTATTTTACACAAATACTTTTGCATTGTTCTGCAAACCTTACTCTTATATTTGTAGGTGCTTTTTTACACGCAAAATTTTGTCAAAGATATTTTACTTTATTGTGCATTAATCTATAAATCCCTGATTTCCAGAATGGACTATTCCATCTGTAAACCATAGTTAAGTTCATTCTGGTAGCCAGGGTGTGATTGTAGTTCTTAATGAAATAGATGACATGCTCAACACCAAGCATGGATATGCTCTGTTTTGTGCCACTGTGGTCATTCTCAGTAACACTGTGTTGATTCCTGGAGGTTTAGGTGCCTAATGTATACTGAATATCTTGTGACAAAAAGTAAATCTAAATGATAAAATTTATTTATTGATGAAGCAGGTTTTGTCACTCATTGCATTCATTCCATGAATGTAGAAATGAAAAAGCAGTGTTTTATCTATTTCTATATAGGATGTTTCCCTTGATTAAATACTTACCCACAGAATCATTTCAAATTATGCCTAATTTTATAATCCCATGGCTCAACAATAAATCTCCTGGAATCATACAACTTAAAGTAATGACCACAAAAGATACATATTTTTTACAGAGATGGTCAATTTTTCCCATCACCACCATAGTTACAGTATATGTATCGCCTGCACAAAACAAGCTTGTCCATGCTGACTATGTGACTAAATCGTCACGGTGAATTCATTGTGCCAACCAATCAGTGAGTCCATTAGGTATAAGCCTACTCCCCAAGGAGACTAAAACCTATGGTACCTCTGTTCTAGTCTGATAATTTTGTATCTTATCGCATATTTTAACTGTGAAACTGCTGGACATTTGAAATAAATTCAGTTAACTTGAAATCTGGTGTTCTTGGACTTAATTGGTGTGGAGTGTACTGTTGTTGAAGACCTGTCTTATTCTTTGTGTACAAATGTCTACTGTTGTAAACCTGCTGTCTTATTCTTTGTGTACAAGTGTCTACTGTTGTAAACCTGCTGTCTTATTCTTTGTGTACAAGTGTCTACTGTTGTTAACCTGCTGTCTTATTGTGTACAAATGTCTACTGTTGTTGCAAACCTGCGCTCTTATTCTTTGTGTACAAGTGTCTACTGTTGTAAACCTGCTGTCTTATTGTGTACAAATGTCTACTGTTGTTGCAAACCTGCGCTCTTATTCTTTGTGTACACGTGTCTACTGTTGTAAACCTGCTGTCTTATTGTGTACAAATGTCTACTGTTGTTGCAAACCTGCGCTCTTATTCTTTGTGTACAAATGTCTACTGTTGTAAACCTGCTGTCTTATTCTTTGTGTACACGCGTGTACTGTTGTTGTAAACCTGCTGTCTTAGTGTGTACAAATGTCACTGTTGTAAACCTGCTGTCTTATTCTTTGTGTACACGTGTGTACTGTTGTTGTAAACCTGCTGTCTTATTGTGTACAAGTGTCTACTGTTGTTGTAAACCTACTGTCTTATGGTGTACAAGTGTCTACTGTTGTTGTAAACCTGCTGTCTTATTCTTTGTGTACACGTGTCTACTGTTGTTGTAAACCTACTGTCTTATGGTGTACAAGTGTCTACGGTTGTTGTAAACCTGCTGTTTTATTGTGTACAAGTGTCTACCAGATGTCTGATGTCATTTGGTTGGTATGATAACTACACAAGACCCATGATTAGACAGATGTATTCCAGACTTCTCATAATGTTATAGACTGATTCAATGAAACTAGAGGGATGTTAGGGTCAATGTGTAGATATGCAAATTTGCATGCAGGCAGGGTTTTTGCCATGGTAACGGGGTCACATGTAAAGTGCCATAACCCTTAACACTTTAATTGATTTTATTTATACTTGATCAAGTGCTAAAGCTAATTGTAGCCTATGATATGACATATTGGGTATTTCAAAACCTTTACCATGGAAACACGTTTGGAGGCTTCTGATTGGTCGTAATTAAGATAATATCTAGTAAATACCATCAATACTATGGTCAGGATATCGAATATACTTAACTGTTTTATGTGTCATTCAACTTATTCAAAGGGATATGATTTGATCTCAAGGTATGTTTTAGATCAATTTCAATACAATGTTAACATAGTGGATGGATGGTGGCTGACGTAGAAAGACTTTGTATCAGAGAGATAGAGAGAAAATTATCAGAGACCGATATTTCAACATATCTGTAGTTGTGTAGGCTAGGTAAGTAAGTCAGCCTGTGCTCCACATGGTTGAATCCTACATTGTGTCAGAAGGAGGATCCATACTCCACACAGAAAACAACATCACGGGTAGAGTCATGAGCACCATTGTTATAATACAAGCAAACATTTATTACAGTTGAACTTTCCTCAAATAATATAGATAATACATGTATATGTCATAGGAAGGACAATCAACTGCTCGACTTAAGGCAAATGAGACAAGTTAGGCAACATGTACACTTATATTCTACTCCTGACAACAACACACCAGGTTGGATATCTCCAAGGCAGCATCCTAATCTCCTGTAGTTTTCACCCTTGGCGTGGTCATCATCACAGTGGGGGCGTGGTCATAATCACAGTGAGGGCGCGGTCATCATCACAGTGAGGGCGCGGTCATCATCACAGTGGGGGCGTGGTCATTATCACAGTGGGGGCGTGGTCATCTTCACAGTGGAGGCGTGGTCATCATCACAGTGACGGTGTGGTCATCATCACAGTGAGGGCGTGGTCATCATCACAGTGGGGGCGTGGTTATCATCACAGTGGGATCTTGGTCATCATCACAGTGGGATCGTGGCGCCCACCATTGTTTGATATTTTATCTGTTTTTGAACATTGGATATTTTCCCTTTACTCTGATTTTGCTCTTAATGATGAAATGTTTAAAATTGTCTTAAGAAACAGGATAATCTAACTGCCAAATGCAAGAATGTCGCTATTTTTGTATTTCTAATCAGTGCCATAATCAAAAGGGCACAATTAGACACCAAGAGAAATCATACATAGGACATTTTAGGAACCCAATCTAGAACTTCTCAGAAAATAGCGATAACAAACTGTCATTGTATGCACTAAGTTGAACCTACAAATGAAATTTAAAAAATATCCTCTACAAGCAAAACCCTTAGCTTGTTCTATACGAAAAAATACAAATATTTCAGGTATATCTGTTCCATGTTTAAATAATGAAAATATTGAAGCAAAAATAAGTATGTTCGCAGATGACTCTCAATTACATGTTAGCTCAAGAAAGGGTATAATAGAAACCTTCAAATTACTTGTAAGGTATGAAAAAGCGTCTGGTGCAAAAAATTAATTATGTTAAAACAAAAGGAATGTACATTGGAGTTTGGAAACAAAGACCCCCACGTCACGATCAAATTAAGTGGGTTGAAAATATTAAAGCATTAGGGATAACACATGGGAGTAATATTAACAAAGAAATAATCTGGGAAGCAAAGCTACAGAAAATTAAAACACTTATAGGCAGATGGGAAAAACGAAATCTTACTGTACAAGGGAAAGTGTTAATCATAAAATCACTCTTACTATCTACAATAACATATGAGATAGCTCAAACATTAATACCTGTAAAATACAAACAAATAATCAATAAACTCATTTACTCCTTTCTATGGAAAGGCAAGGTCAACAAAGTATCAAAAGAAACTTGCTATAGAGATCACTCCAAGGGTGGGATAAATATGATAGATGTTGATATGATCTGTAGACAAAAAAGTATAAAAAATATTTATAAGCTTATAAATTCTGAGGTACAAACTTGGAATGCCTTAGGCAAATATTGGATTAAAAAATACGATGACAAGTTTGGTATAGAGTTTTTTTCATGTAAATGTAGTAGTATAAAATCTCTTGATTTAAGTAAAATACTATAGATCTCAGATTTTGGAGTGGCAGCACTTTTTGAAAAAAATACCAAGAACTCTAGCGAAAGATAGTGTTAAAAAACAAATGATTTTCGGCAATGATAAAATATTGTTAAAAAAATCCTTTGTTCTTAAAAAACTGGACTAAATCAGGAATAACTAGGATTGAAGACATATGGGACGAACCACACAATAAATTTATTTCATCTGACATATTGATACGAAAATTGATACAAAAGGAAAATTGGATATCACTGAGTTCTCCAAAGTACAAAAATCAATACCCAAAGATTGGTTAGAAAAACTAAAGACAGACGGTTCTGTTGATAATAAAAACCTAATATTAACGGAAAACTTTTACGCTCCAATACCAAAATAAAGACATAGAACCAAATAAATTATCAAACAAAATATTGCTTGATATCTTATTAGATGAAAAGTATCAACCTAAAGCACAACAGAAATGGGAATCTACATATGAAAATGAACACTTAAACTGGAAAAACATTTGGGAATTAACAAAAAAATCTATCGCAGACAGGAAGTGTAAAGAATTCCAGTGGAAATGTTTACATAACATAGTATCTACAAATTATAAGCTGTTGAAAATGGGTTTCACCGATGGAAAATGTAATTTATGTGATAATTATCTTGAAACTCAATCTCATTTATTCTACAAATGTAAATTTTCAGAAGAAATATGGGGAATAATTGCTCCTTTCATAGAGAAAGCTATAAATGTTGTTTCTCAACAAACAGAAGTTTACAGAATATCTGAATTGGATGTTATGTTTGGGTACCATAGTCTAAATTATAGGTCATGCGTTGTTGCAAATTTAATAATTCTTTCTACAAAATGGTGTATTTGGAAAGCTAGAAATAAGATGAAATTTGAAAATATTATTGAAAACAAAGAGTGTGTAGTGAACAATATTATACATTATTTAAAATTGAATTTTGAAATGCAAAAACGTAAAAAAAAAAAAAAAAAAAAGAAAATTCTTTTATTGAAGACTTACTGCACATTTTTGATACCTGATGAATATGTATGTGATATACTTTAAGATATGAATTGTTAATTTACTACTTTGTGATGTACCTCACAATATGAACGAGTGTGAAGCAAATCAAATTTTTGGTGAAACTCTTGTGAAAGATTTATTGTAATATGTACGATTTACTACTTATGTGTACAATACGAATGACTGAAAATGAAATCTCAAAAGCTTAATTAAAAAAAAAAAAATAAAGATATAACATGTTATTGCAAAAAAAAAAAAAAAATCCTCTAGTATTTCTAATGAAATATAGCTGTAACAATTAGAATAGCTCATAATCTGATGATAGTAGGCCAAAAATACCCTGCCACCACTCGGGACGGACCTGACAACCCTTCGGTCTTTCTCGAACACTCAACCGCTCGAAAATTCTATATAGCCGAAGCTAGTGAGACTCAACATATACATGTAAGATATCTCATAAGATACATGAAACATCTTATGTATTGAATAACATAACATCTCACTAACAAGTATCATCAGTATTTCTAAAACGGAATATGTCCCTCATCCGTCACAGCAAACTGTAGCTACAACACTATATAAAGCGGAGCATGTCCCTCATCAGTCACATCAAACTATAGCTACAACACTATATAAAGCGGAATATGTCCCTCATCAGTCACATCAAACTATAGCTACAACATTATATAAAGCGGAATATGTCCCTCATCCGTCACATCAAACTATAGCTACAACATTATATAAAGCGGAATATGTCCCTCATCCGTCACATCAAACTATAGCTACAACATTATATAAAGCGGAATATGTCCCTCATCCGTCACAGCAAACTGTAGCTACAACACTATATAAAGCGGAGCATGTCCTTCATCCGTCACATCAAACTGTAGCTACAATACTATATATAGCGGAGCATGTCCTTCATCAGTCACATCAAACTATAGCTACAACACTATATAAAGCGGA